GGTATTTACCAATGTAACTAGGCAGTTGTAAATATGCTTTGGGTAAGCTAACTTGGGAAGCCTGCTTGAATAAAATATCCTGTTATAAAAGTATGTGGGAACAACCTGCAGGAAATGCTCTTCCCTGCCTTTGCCTTCTCTCTGTAGAGTTTAGTGGTCTATAGACCTCTAACTTTGTCCTTCCTTCCTTCCTTCCTTCCTTCCTTCCTTCCTTCCTTCCTTCCTTCCTTCCTTCCTTCCTTCCTTCCTTCCGTTTCTTTCTGCTTCATGAACTTCTGCTAGTATGTAACCAGTTAGGTATCCTCTTGGTCTCGCTCTGGAGCTTAGGTTGGCCTCAGCTTGGAACTATTTAAACTAAACTGGTCCTCTAACTTCCAGCAATCCTCCTGCCTCAACCTTCTGAACACTAGCATTCTAAATATGAAGTACTAGACCTGGATCTCTTGTTATAAATCAGGATGGGATGGGTGGTCTTCAGTAATCACGTTTCCCTAGTCTCTCTCTCTCTGTGTGTGTGTGTGTGTGTTTGAAGACAAGGTCTCACTACACACTCAGTCTGCCCTGGAACTCATTGTGAAGCCTGTACTGCCCTGATGATCTTGGTGTTTCAGCCTCCTGACTTGTGGGATTACAGATGAGTCAATATGGCCATTTATCTTCCTCTAGTCTTTATTCAGGCTTCATCTCATCTTAAAGTGGCAGTAGCAGAAAGTGTTTCTCTTACACACCACGCAATGTCTTTGCATAACTCAGCTATCCATTAACAATACTTCAAGAAGAAATTGAGAAAACCTTTCAGAAAAATAGCATACTGTGTTAAGTCATTTTTCTCATGTAAGAAAATGCCTGACCAAAGCAACTTCAGAAGGGTTCCTTTTGGCTCACAGTTGACAAGGGGACAGTCTGTCCACACAGGAAAGGCTTGGTGCCTAGGCTAAGAAGCCATGCCTCACATTGCAGCCACATTCAGGAAGCAGAAGCAGATGAAGGTCGTGCTCAGCCTGTTTCTCTCTCCTGCTGACTAAACTCTGTAACCTACCTCATTGCTGATGTTGCCCACATTCAGGTGGGTCTTTCCTCTCCAGTTCACTTTTTCAGGAAATATACTCAGACACACCCAGAGGTATTCATTATTATTATATAGCTAATCAGTGAATACTATCACAGACTGGTATTGATAGGATTTTTTTCTACTGATCGTGTAGTCATTTCTTCCTAGTCTGTGTATTAGTGGTTGCAAAAGTAGTCAACAGTGTTCTGTGTGAGGTTTTTTTTAAATCTTGTTATTTTGATCCAGGGTCTTGCTATGTAGCCCACGCTAGCTTTGAACACTATCCTCCTACCTCGCTCTCCTCAGTGCTGGGATGCACAGCATACTGGCTTCTACAAGCTTCTAGACATGAAAAGTGTAAATGCCAACTGTAGATCCACTTTGGATACTTTGCATGGTAACACTGAGGTTCACAGCACCCTTTCCATAGGCAACACGTGAACTAGGTGTCTCTGATCTCTGCTACAACAAGAAGCTGCTGAACTACACGGACCTTTATAAAGTCAGTATGCCTCTCATGTGTGATCCAATGGGGATTTCTGAGATGGGATGTTCTGTGTCTATTTGTATCTGTCCAATGGGGTGGCCTCTAGCCACAGGTAGCTAGCTGCTTAGTCTTTTCATTATGGCTGCTGTGGCTAAGGAACAAAATGTATTCAACAATCACATTCATTGGGTAACTACAGGTCTGGAAGATCCTTCAAATATTCTGTCAGTTATTAGAGGTATGAGCCCATTATGGAGAATCTAAGCGCCTTCATATAGCGGCACTTTGTTTAAAAATCCTATCATTTCTTCAGTATCAACTTTTTCAAAAGTTTCAAATTTCCAGAAAATGAAACCCAAACCAACCGGTCTTTGGTTCCTTTTTTGGATGATTCATCTTTTTGCAGAGAGGTGTAAGACCGATTTTATTGCCAACTCTGCCTCCTCTCCTACAGACAGAATTCAGTGATTAGATGCGGCGTTTATTTAGGCTATTCTCTCAAAAAACCTGGTTTGCATGCCGCAAATAAATGACAGAAACTTTTCCACTGGATTATCCCAGACAGCACAAATGTTCTTTCCCAAAGTGGAGACTGGAACCACAGCCCCCTCACATTGCCAGTTACATCTGTTGATGCTTTTAGAAGCGGCATCCACTTCACAGACAGGGAATGCCAGCTTCTTGGTAAGGACAGAGAATATGGCGATGCTTAAAAAAGGGAAGAAATGTCTGGCTGAAAATCAGATCTATAGAATTAAGTAGCTACAATTTTTTTTTTTTACTTTCACAGCACACAGAGTCTTTGTGTCCACTGGCCTGGCCATTTTCTAGTCATTATCTTCTAGGCAATGCAATTGTGAATACATCACAAGCTCCAACCCTCCATTTTTCTATCTGTAACATGTGGTGATGTTTCAGGCTACAGAGATGGCTCAGTGGTTAAGTGCTTATATTGTTCTTCCACAGGACCTGAGTTCAGTTCCCAGTGCCTACACCAAGTGGCGTCTCTAACTCCATTTTCAAGACAGCTGATAACTCTCTGGTCTTCATGGACACCCGTACTCACGTGTACTGTACATATCATCCCTTGACACATAAACACATACAAATAAAATAAATCTTTAAAAAGTGTAATTATATTTTGTTAGAAAAACTTTGTTTTAATTAACTACTACAGAATATTATTTCATTTCTCTGTTTTTTAATTGCTAATTTATTGTGGCTTACTTACAAATTAAGCTTTATGATTTGGTATGGCAGAATAAGCGCGCGCGCGCGCACACACACACACACACACACACACACACACACACACGCACACATGGTCCGGTATTATTTTATTTTATTTTACTATATTTTATTTTATAAACTAGGGGTAGGGTGGGACTTGGGATGTATCCTTGAAAACAATTCTAAGGTAGGATAGAAAGACGGGGAACATTTCTGGAACATGGAAGGGAAAGAGCCACTCATCTCAGAGCTGAGGCCACTTGCTAGATGAGAGACAAGACTTCCAGCACAATTAGTGACATTTGCTGTCAAGGCCGCAGGTACAGCACACACACACACACACACACACACAATCTTAAGTTAAAATAGCTGTGAAACAGGCTTAAAGCTAGAAGGCATATGACCTTCGAAGGGCCTCATTCCATTTCCCAGGCATTTTCTAGGAATCTCAAACAAGACTATTAACTTTGTTTACAGTAAAGATAGCCTATCTTCCCAAATTCAGGAGATACAGAGTGTTACCTTATCAGTTGAAACCTGGAGGGCACCCCTCTGGGACCACCTTAGTGTCTCATTTAGGTTCCTTGGTCACCCTTTGGAGACAGTGGTTTCAAAACCGACATGAATGGTATGTACCAGCAGAGGTATATATTGGTATATACGGGAAGGACAATAGACTCTCAGAGGAGCCTACGTCTGTCCTCTGGAGTGTGCCTTCATCTTATCCCAAGTACCTCTTTCTACTCATTTGTGCGCTTAACGGTCTACTCTAAAATGCCTTCAACAAGCTCCAACCCTGCTCCATACCATCTAAGATTGTTTTCTGCATTTAAGCAGAGGTTGAGATTTTTGAATCTAAATGACTAGGGATCAGGTCAGGCTGAAGGGCGGCCACATTAAGTCCTGCTGTTTTTACATCTCCAGACAATGGCTGGATTTGTAACTCAGTCTGTTCTCAAACTCAATTCTGTCTCGGTGTTGGGATGACTTGTGCATCTTACACATACATGGCAAAACACACGATTTTGTCTCTTCAGAAGGTGTGTTCCTCCCCACCGGCCTTTTGGATGGGTTAATGATCTATATTGGCCATCAAGGTCCATTTAGTATGTTGGAGAGTGGTATGTAACACTTCATGTATTTGGGAGGAGAGGCTGTATTGAGAGTTTACAAAAGAACGAAATCAGGGATCGTGAACTGGAAAACTATACAAGAAGAAAGTCCAAAGTCCTTTTCATTCCTTTCCTTCTAGCAACGGGGCCTTGAGGTCCAGCTGGGTCATGCCCGTGGAGGCCACACTAGAGCAGGGCCTAAGTCTTGGCCTTGTAGGCCAACCAAGGCCCTTGCCCGGCCTCCCAGGCCTGGGGTTAACTATTGACTTTGTGGGGTCCACAGCACCTGACAGTCCAAACCCAGGCCTGGAACCCACCCTTGCCAGGCCCCGACCCGAGGCACCGTCCTCGCCCGGCGCCCCGGAGCCCCCTCGCCCACGGCCTTGGGGGTGGGGCGGCCTGGCCTCGGGCCGCTGCTTTTCGCCCTCCGTTGGCCGCCAGAGGCTCCCTCTCTCCCTCTCCTGGGATTTCGCGGCTGGGCTCCCTCTCTCTGCGGCCCTAGAGTTAATCCCATCCGCCGAGGTGAGGCACCTGTTACCCCGGGGCCTTCCTCAGCCCCGAGGCCCTGTCCCCGCTCCAAGTCCACCGGGCCTCGCGGGCCTCGGGGCCCGGCCCGGGGGGCCCGCACGT